GAACTTGATGTCTTCCTCTACAAGTAAAGCTGGAAAGTCTCCATATGACTTATACTATATTGGTGTGACGTTAAATTCAAACAAACACAATTATTGAAATTTGCTTATTCCGTCCTTGAGGCATGTTTATACGGATATGACAATCTGATAAGCAAGGGGAAATGTTTAAGAATGACCAATCAAAGTTTTCCATAGGAGTTATCGATATGACCATGACGTCGAAATGGCGCCGTGAGTATACATTGCTTTGTTGCTATGTTAAAGAGAACGGCCATTGTTGCTTACTTGATTAGTCGCCGGTAGGGACCGGCGACTATATTTGTAACAGTTTAATATTATACCTATGGTAGGAGAAGCCCTTAATATCTGAAAATAAAAGCATATCAATTATTGAACAATTAAAGACCACAATTATTTTCAGTAATCTCAAAAATTCAAACATATGATAACTTTGCTCAATGAATTGAAATATACACATTTTGACATCTTAAAAAGCAACATACAATTTTCATAAAATGAATCAATAATGTATCCCTAGGGATCAGCCATTGAATGTAGGGATACTTTTGCTTTTTTCTTTGTGTTAAGCGTTGGTATTTTATGATATCTAAATCATGAATGATATTTGAAATGACACTTTTAAATTATTTTGTTGTTTATATTTTATGAGACCTATTATATTTCTTTATTTTATCTAATTATAAACAAATCCTCCCTGTTCTGTTGTAAGAATCACGTGACTACACGTTGTATGTTAGCGTTATAAAATCTATTAATAGTAACAGATTGCTGATAAGACATACAGGTTCGGCAAAACGTATGACGGCTGATAGGATGCAAACCATTGTAATTTTGTATAAGTAATTACAAAGTTAATTTTCATTAATCAAGTTCATATTTTATATCATTAAACAAATCTTGTATACTCATATTTTACACATACAAATAGATTTACAAAACATTTTCCATTTTTCTTGGTAAAGGGTTAAACTTGGCCCTTTCTGTCAAACCTTTGACAAGAACGTTCAATAGTTTAGTTTAGTTTGAACATGACAAAATAAGTTAATGCTTAAGAGGCACATTATTGAAATCGTTGATTTCGCGCAGGTTTCCAAAACGGTAGGACGGTAGGAATCCGGAATCGTATAAGATACATAGAGAAAACTAATAAACTATCTTTGTGTTGATAGTTTAACGCACTTAAAGGCAATTAAACGTTAATTATATCGTATGAAAGGTGGGAATACATGTATTGATTTCAACTAAATTATATATCTTTTCGATAGCGCATAATAATGATGGACAACACTTTTACAGTAGAATTGCATTCTTTCATGCAATAATTAAATATATATATTTTCATAGTCACTTTGCAAATATTCGATGACCGGTAATTATTTGTCGGTATAATTATCGGATTCTGAACAAGTAACCCATATGGATTTCAATGTATGGTACAACAGTATATGTATAAAGTAGAATTACAAGTAGAATTACCAGCATATCACTTGCCTTACAAGCTTCGGTGGCAAACATTACTAAACATATTGTTCCTCTTTTCTTAATACTTGAACCATTAAACTTATATTTTCTTATGTTCATGATAATACAATCATTTTTCTATCCGGCGACTTGATGCTTTAGCATCAAAATCTCTACTTGTGTTCATTCATTAGAAGTAAATCTCGCCTAGAACTGTATCAATTTGTGTGTAACACTATGGACTTTTTTTAAGAATATGACTGTCAGTGTGCAAAATGCAACTCGCGGTACACTGTACATATCTGCAATTTACAATCATGGGTTATATACTGGCAAATATGCTGTTGGCAGACACATCATTCGAATAAGCGCCATGAATATGCTACTATTTTTATAGTCTTCTAGCTAGTGTTCCCCCTACCCTACGACGCGTTGCGGTATTCAAGATACGCGCTTGATTGAAAAGCTGTCTAATCAAATCACTTCGTTGTTCTTTTTCTCTTAAAAAATATATAATGTTTTTATAAATATATTTATATATTTATATATTGGTTGATGTCGATGTGCTGTATATGCATAAGACTGAATAAATTTTCTGTTCTGTTCTGTTCTATAATACGACAGTTTATCATGGTAATTAATTAAATCTTTGTGTGTAAGAATTTATAAAGCGTTACTGATATTTTCACTTCGAATAATTTTGATTATTTTAAATAATGGTTTGCTAGTAAAATTGCCTTTTTGAAACCAACTTTGTTGTCATTTTTCATTTTAATGATAACATTTAGCTATTGATCAGATAATAAGAATGATAATTTTCTTCAAAATTAGATACAATTTCACGCTAATTGTGAAAATAAATGACGTCTATAAGTGGCGACGCATTTTGAAATGACGTCACGTCAAGTTCGGGAGTACGTGAAAATATAATTATAAACATTTTGACCATTTACGACATGAAAAATGATTAAAAGTAGAGAAACGGTTAAATGACATTAATAAATGATTCTATTTTTTAAAAAAAATAATTCAATTGAGGGACAGGACTATAAATAGGTATCCACTAATATTTGCACTATAGAAATGTACATTTCAATAGTCGACAAATAGTATCAAAATCAAAAATATTTTTTTATACATGCGTAAAATCTGCATGAATTGAGATATCCTTTTATCACATACCCGTGCCGATTTTGCGACTCCGTAAAAATGGTATTACACGGCCGTGCATATATTTTGACGCGACGTCATTAGCGCCATGTACGAGGGGTTATCCAAAAATTCCTGGACTTCTTTGTTGCGTAAAATATATTTTAGTATGTTTAAGATATTAATTTGAAATTCTTACACTGCTTAGTAGAATTATAACAAATAAACACAGAAAAATTCATGTGAGTACCTTCTTATATTACAACAATATTTAATTTTATATAAAACAGCGGCGCACTCCAAAAAGTTATTGACGTCAACGTCATAATATTAACGTACAACTTGCATGTGCTTCAACTTTACGCAGTCAAAGACAGTTACTGCTTCTCAAAGTAATGTCTATTACTAAATTTTTTATGCCACTTTAACACTAATGATTGTGAAATTTTCTTTTCTCTGTTCGTCTGCTGATTTTTATAAAATGTTTTTGTAGGTGTCATTTCCAAATTACAACACAATTTTATGATCGTTTATGATCGTGCGATTTTTTCTAATTACCGCCTGTCCGTCATTTTCCCGTTGTAAACAATAAAGGCGTCTGGCGTTTCTAGCGATATCAACAAAAATAAACGGAAATGACGTCCATTATTTTAAAGAATTACTTAAAAGACATCATAGAAGAAACATGCGATGTTCAGCGGGTTTTCTACGTTAAATGTTAAGTTTTTAGCAAGAAATATACGATGACTTACTGCGCTTTTCTACCGTGCGCCGGGTGTGGTGAATGTGCTTATTTAAAAGCAATATAAAATCATTATTTTTTACACAATTAACTGTTCCTTTCAAAATGTGTTGATAATATTCTATAATGTATGCTGATAAATTTTCATTACAATACACTTTGACGTTCAAGAGATATTTAAAAAGTCCACGAATTTTTGGATAGTGTAAAGACGCGTTATACTATAGGCGTGTCGATGAAAAATGACTCTTTTTCACTTTAAACGGTCTTTATTCTGGGTATGTGATAAATAGAATATTAAATTCGAGTAAGTTCATTACTGAATTTATTGAACTCGTTGAATAAAATAATATTATGCTCGCCCCACTATATATTTTTGATCATTTTTGTCCCTGTAACAAAAATGATCCTATCACGTGCAAAGCAAAGATGAATAACTTATAAGCATTTAAACTTATATTATATACGTAGACCTTGCTAGTGGATTTTGGCAAATTGAAGTTGATGAAAAGGACAGGTCCAAAACGGCATTTTGTACAAGCAAAAATAGACTCTATGAATATGTTACTTTACCCATGGGACTTTGTTACTCACCTTCAACCTTTCAGCGTGTGATTGAAGTAGTGTTTCGTGGTCTCCAGTGGAAAACATTATTAATTTATCTTGATGATATAACTTTGTTTTGCCAAAAGTTTTGATAAACATGTTAGTAGGTTGGAGGATATTTTTGGAAAGTTAAAGCAAGCTAACTTAAAACTGAAACCCGAGAAATGCAACCTCTTTAGGACATCAGTTGAAATTCTAGGATTTACTGTAAGTGGTGATGGAGTAAGTCCAAATGGTAAAAAAGTAGAGTGCATAAAAAATGGCCTGTGCCTAAAAATTTAACAGAAGTTAGGAGCTTTGTTCAATTCTGCCCCTACTAGAGACACTGGGGTAGGGGGATGTTTAAGTCAAATGCAGTTTTGTGAAGCAATTTTACTATCATTGGGGATGGGAAGGGGGATATTTTGAGCTAAAACTCCTGGGGAAAATTCTTGGATTTCTTGAAACTTTGCCATTGTTTTGTTTAGCATGCATCTATTTCTTCAGAGGGTCAGTTCAAGTTCATCATGTATGATGATACTACACGCATAATATAATTCTATTGAATAAAATAATATTATGCTCGCCAGAGAACTTACACTCAATTTACCATATACTTTGTTGAAATTGGTTTCTGACTTAAGTAGGAGCAGTGGTAGTATGTTTGATCTTCAGCCAGCAAGAAATTAACGAGCCGCCTCGTGAAGCTCTGGGAAATATCAAATTTTATAGATTATGACATTATTTTAAGTCTTGATAGACGGTCGAGTCTGACTTAGTGTTTACATATTGCACTTAAAACAAACAAATACGGAATTTTACAAATTTATCTGTGCTGAAGAGATATCAAACTTGCATGAGGTCATGTTATTTTTAGTTGAAAAATTATCTGACAGAAACAGATCTCCTTCATGATTATTAATGACCAAATTCAACTAAAGGACCCTTGAAACTGGTATGCAATTTTTTAAAAATACAAAACTCCTGTCGATCAAAGTTGTGCTGTTCAAATTTATGTAAATATCCAGCTATTTAAATTACATCGTTTCCGGGACTTGAAAGAATAAAAGCCGAATCTTTTTAAATTTACGGACATTTGCAACTTTGTCGCCGGAAAACCTGAATGAGAAAAATGCTTAGGATTTTATGTGCCGTCACAGTACTGGTGATCGCATTGGATCATACAGTTGCCGAGTCACAGGTTTGAAGATAAATTTCTTAAATAATAAAATAATAATTCGCATCTTTTTCTCTGGAAGAATAAACAATACTTTTAAAAAAAATAAAAGCAAGATTTTTCATGGCACGTATGCAACGTAGGGAACGTGTTACAGTATCGCGTTTTCCGGTTACAGTATAGAATTTTAAAGATGGAGGATTATTTGTGGGAGGACAGGTAGGTGATTTTTATTCCGGTCCATACTACAAGTAGTTTAGTTTCTAAAAGATGTTTTTGTGTTGTGCTTGTAAGGAACAGAATCCGGTATCTAGTCATATATTTATTCAGACCCTGCACAGCAGATTTATTTCTATATTGTCTCATAAATACACAGATTTGACGGTTTGAAAATCAGAATCGAGAGACCAACACATTTTTCTCCCATTCCGACATTATTTATGCATGCATAGATAAAGTAAATCTACAAAACGTTAGTCCTTTATGTTAGGAAACGTTTATAAAAGTAAATGACCAGTTTAACCTATTTTCCTGATCGTCAAATGCAATTGAAAAAATAAACAATATTACAGTATAGAGCGAGGTGAATTTTGCTGGGTTACAGCATAGATCCAATTTTGTTACAGTTTATACCCAGATTTCGGTTACAGTTTAGATACCTACCAAATTGCAAAGTTCGTGCATCCATTATTTTTTATGATCATACCTATCTATTTAATATATTCTTGAAAGGTTGTACATGTATTACTTTTTTTCTTCAGCAGAAAAGTTATAGTTTGCTATTTTCCTTACTTTAAATTTCAGATTGAGACTTTTTGCAGAATAAGTAATGTCCTAAGTAAGGACTGTTTTCACGACAACAACAGTAACTTTTATCAAATTGTATGGAGAGAAGAAAGATTATTGCCTGATTCCATTACACATTATAATAATGCCTATTAGTAATAAAATAGAGAAAACAAAACAGAATCCTTAACAGAAGTCCAACACGGAAAACATGAAAATGTTACAGCCTAATGAGACTAGTGATAACTGCAAGCTACCGTCGACCCCTCCTAGCACCGGCTTCAGCAGAATTCACATTAACATGAACTGGTAAACTTGAGATTTTTTAACATCTGTGGATGTGTTCATATCGCGGTTATCATGGAACCTTCAATGTGACACGTTATTGCCATTCCATGAAAAGCGCCATATTATCTCCAATTTAAAAATTGCGTGTGCCCTAAACGAGAATTCAATGAGTAAAAAGAGAGGGGATCGGAGGTTATGAAGCCTGAATACCACAGATAAACTGTCAAAAGACGCAATTAAAAAGCAGGCAATACCCTAAGGGTGATTTAAAGCAGCACACCTCCAGATTCATGCTATTAAATTTTCATGAAAGTTTTGAAAATGTATCTGAATGTTTGATATTGTGAAGTAACCAAATGGAAACAATTTACACATTTTCAATGCCACATACAACCCGCATAAATTACTAAAAAGTGGTCAAAATATGCATAAATAGCCCTTACTGCAGTAGAAATATAGTTGTAAACACTGAAAAATCAGTCATTAATCGTACAGAACCTATAAAATATTACTTGAATCTTTTTACATTTCCTAAAATTTTAGTACATTTTTCTTAAGTTTGATTTTATTGAAATATTTTGACTCATATGGAGGCATATAGCTTTAACAGTATTTAAGTAACCATAAAGCTTATTATAAGTTGTAATTTCCATCTAGAATAATGTATTTTGTAAGTATTTAAAAGGTTCTTGAATTTTAAATTTCAACGACACTGATGTCATGTGAAAACATTCCTTCTTTAGTGTAAAGAAAGACCTCAGATACCATTTGTTAAACTTTTCAGACACGAGCAGGCACCTGACTAGAACTACCGACCTTCTGTAAACTAGCTTGATAGATTCCTCACATACAAAGTATCCAAAGTCATGATGGGATTTCAACCATAGCAGTAAAGGAAAGATGAATTGAAGTCGGCGACCTTATCCCGACCCTGCCACTATTATGTACCTCCATCAGGATATTGTAATTGTCTGACCTTAATTTATACATTAAATATTATTTTCTTTTTCAGAAACATGAAATCTTCTTTACAGGATGTCTGAAATAAAAAAAAAAGACTTTTAATTTAATAATGACAAAATAAACTCGACTTCATCAAAAAAGCATTCGAAATGACGCCATGATCATGGTTTGATTTGAATGCTTTTTGGTTCGAGATTAAAAGAATCTTTAAACATTGCCTTTTTTCAAATCTATATTTTGGGTTTTCGTATCCCCGATTGCAACCGAAACCATTTGAACACCTTTGGTAGAAAGTTACGTAAATTTCATCACATTTAGTCAAGAAGTTACAGAGCGGATGAGATTGCACACACATGTGTACGACAACCGGACAAATAGCCATTGGGCCAATAAGCTCACCAGTTGGGTTTCTAGAGATTTAAAATTCTGTGTATCATTCATACATTTTACCTAGTATATATAGAAAATATCGAAGTCTAAGCTGTAACCGAAATCTGGGTATAATCTCAGCATAGATGCCGGATCCTGTTCCTTACAAGCAAAGCAAAAAACACCCTTTAGAAACTAAACTACTTGTAGTATTGACCTGAATAAAATTCACCTACCTTTCTTCCCATAAATAATCCTCCATCTGGAAAATTCTATACTGTAACCGGAAAACGCGATACTGTAACTGTAACACGTTCCCTACGTTGGTATGTACATATATTGTTCATCTACGAAAATTTATTCAGCATTAAAAATGTTAATATATATCATGTTTATTCGTATTTTCGAATATTATAAATAATCAACAGATATACAAATGTCGGCTGTCTATTGCAAAATGATAAGAAAAGTATATGTTTATTGGCGAGGACATTTAATCTAACATACTTATTCTACCTTGATTGTGAAGCATTTGAACCACTCTCGCTGATGTCATTTAAGAAAAAATGGTCGTGACACCAGAATGGCTCATATTCACGGTCCCTTAATTGCCATTATAACAAGGTAGTCGCCATTTTTTTCCATCACACGGTATGGTCTTGTCATATGAATTGTTTTTTTACATGATGAATTTTGCATTTCACAGGTTGATCTGCATTTAAAGATATCGCACCTAGAGTCTCGGTTAAATATGTTAACACAACGCGTACAGCAAGATGAAGAAATGTTAAGACAGTGTCGAGATCAAGAGGAAAGAGTCTCGTCTCTTCAGAGACATGTCGACACGGCGTTGGAAAATAAAAGTCACGAAATCAGAGATGTAATAGGTGTGTTTTATGAATAAATGTTTTGTTTGAGTAATTGGTGCTATTTGAAAAATACTCGCCAAGTTAGATAGATTTTAGCTTTCGATACGATTCATCAAAGGCAAACACACTTGTACGAAAGTCTGTATTTCACCTCTCCTATTTTGTTGTAAACCACAACTGGTGAACGATTTTTCTAAACTTTATGCAAGTTCTTTGAAATATACAATCTATTAAAGTTATAGAAAGCTAAATGCATACGTTATACAATGTCTTTCTAGAGAAAGTACAGCAATGGAGCAAAGATGCCATTTCCAAACCGAACGGACGATTTGCACGTAAGTAATAAAATCTTGCATTTACAATGAAGAAAAGCCTTTGAATGAGTCTATATGTACATGTATATACGTTATAATTATTCATATGCTTTTCAAATATATTAACTTATAAAGATCTTTAAAATGTTAATTCAGTATTTATTTGATAAAATATCTATGAACCTTTTTTATCATAGATATTTTATTCCAAATACATATGGGTATTATACCCATGAGTACACAGCATACATACAAACATACATGCAGACAGAAACATAATATGAAGGTCATTAAACATATATAACATATATTTAACATTTACTGTATATTTGAGACATAAGTTTGGTTTAATATGAACAGAATAATCATACTACAGCAAGGTTTAAATGAAGCATATATGATATATATTAGTTCCAGCATGTTAACTCGCACAACATTCGGGATGTTCAAACATTTAAATGATGGAAAAGCGCAGCTTGAAAATTAGCTACCATCCACCGCCCAGGTTAACTTATAGATGGGGCTTTAGTTTAAAGAAAAAGAAAATTGTTATGAGAAATTTTATTTTCAATGTTAAAATAACGATACTACACATATGCAAACACCAAATTGTGCTGGTGTAGAAGAAGCTATCTACCGTAAGGGACACTTCAGCGTTTAAAAAATGGCATGAGAGAAATAAAGTTAGCTTTATAAAAAAGGAAAAGTTACATGAACTTTTTCAGTTTAAGAAAATTTTTATAGAAAATGATAGCAACACTACTTTTTCGTGTAAAATTTTAACTTTAAATTGTAATAAAATTTGTCATTAATAAAACAAAATTTATTGGAAAACTTAATGTTCTTTCACATTTTCATTAATTATATAAAAACGCTTAAAATTTACAGCTTATTGTATGTCATAGATAAACAAAGAAACCTCCACTGAGGTCCAAAAGCCTAAACACAGAAAAAAATGTGCAAACCATTGAAAATGTCGATTTTTTAGTGCGATTTTAGCTCCATTCGAATTAAAACGCTTTTTAGTTTGTATTATTGTGTGCGAAATACAAGCTAGGTACGTTACGATACGATTAGGCCCTACATGCTGTTTACATGAACAAAACAGAGTGAGCGAATGATCTGAAATTTTACACACGTTATTGGTCTAGATCTACATCAAATAGTACACAAAAAAAGAAGTCTTTTATGTATGTACATTCTTATTACATGTATTATCAAATATTTTTCTTCTTCTGTTTTTACAATGCACAGGAAGTTCAGATCCGACTGAGGTGGCTTTTACAGCAAAACTGACGCATGAATTAAACGATGTGCCAATTCATACAACAATCATTTTTGACTATTTGGTCCATTACACTGGATCTACTAGTACTTATGATGTTTCCACTGGTGTTTTTACATGTCCGACTTCTGGCCTCTATCTATTCTCAGTTTTTATTGAATCTCATACCGTTAACACAGAGGCTACCGTTACCCTGAAGATGGAAGGAACACCTTACATGAGCGTCGTTTCCGAAAGAAGTGATGATGGAGAAGATGATACTGGAGGAAATGTCTGCCTCCTCACTGTCAATAAAGGTGAACGCGTTTGGGTTGAAACCTATGACAATGATAAACAGTCGTTTTGGCTAGGTTTTACAACATTTAGTGGTGTTCTTATACACCCTCACTAAATGCTTGAACGTATATGTACAGTGTTTACGAAGATAAAAAGTATTTTGACAATAAATGTAATAGAAATGAAAATCAAAATAAAATACACCAATGTATGGTACATTAATTATATTTTTATTTTCTAGTGATATATTACATACACACCCTAGTTTTTGTTTTCGTGTTTCAATACTAATTACATAGAACAATACATGCATATTAAATGCAATGCACATATGTACAATACACATGTGATGTATTGGGTATACTCTACTGGAAGTGTGTGTGTATTTGAGTTTATTTATACTCGCCACCGGTTGCCCATATGGGCGAGTCCTCCAGAAGAGTGTTATTCATTTTATATTTTTGGTGGTTAGTGCAAGATGATACCCCAATTCCAGAAGCTTCTCCTGGTTCTTTAATGTGCCAAGTGTTTAAGCATTCATACAGGGGACCTCGATTTAACGTCTCATCCGAAAGACTGATTAGTAATTTTAGTTGGCCAGCCCGGGAATCGAACCCACAATGTCGAGATTACAAGTCTCGCGCTCTGACCGATTGAGCTATGCGAACTGGCATACTCTACTGGAAACTCTTTTTCCTAGGCTATATATACTGTGCCTCACGTAATCTAAACATGTATAGTTTCACACATGAAAGTTAAATGTGATTTACTATATAAATCAAGTGATCCCCGGGGCGTGGTCAATTTTGTTCTTTGAAGTCCAAACATGTGTTCTGCCAGGGTCTCTCACTGAAAGACCCTGGTTCTGCACATCATCTCATTATAAGTAACATTTCTGCCAAAAAATTGGTACTGGTATCATTCTCGGGCGCTGGTCTAGATAACATGCTGAAGATTTGTAACATTTACTCGAGAAAAATGGCGCTTCGTGTAAAGCGCTATTATATCGTTTAGCCAAGCTATTCTAGTACATGACCCGGTGATATTTTCTCTTGGAAATGGCGTCATACCTATTAACTTCACATATAAGCATTTAGATGTTGAATGTGATCAGCACTTGTCAACGATGCAGTCAATGAAAGACGCCTGCGTTAAGTTGCGCGGTATGTTACTAAGCATTTGCAGCGTGGATTGCATTCAGTTTCTATCAGTCCTACTACACTCCAAAAATATACATGACAGTTGTACCTAAAGCGCTATATGTGGTGAGAACTGGACTTGTTACTCAAAAAAGACATATCCAATTTAGAATTAGCACACTTCTGTGTTAAATTTATACAAAATTTTCATAAATCTATCTCCACAAAGTTTGCATTATGTATGTTAAATATACCAAACATACTTACTATGATAAATTACAGGACATTACAGTTATTTGGTCATGCTGATTGCCATCTAAATATCTTGGTAAACAGATATTTGTTAATAGATTGGTTAGATATGTGAATCTGGATAAGCAGAAACATGGATTTATTCCAGACACATATAGATTACTGCAGAAATATGATCTAGTGTACGTCATTTATACTTTTATTGATGCCGGTGTGTTTCCATCTACATTAAAATGGAAGAAGATTTTACAGATGAAGGTAATCAATGAATCAACAAAAGAGTTATTCTTAGAAACGTTAACGCCACAAGTGCCAGCATTAACATTTCTACTTCATCCTTATAAGATTTCCCCTTTGTGTGTTATTATTCGACAAAATCCGGGTCTAAAATGGGTTGCTGAAACACTTGCCAAGGCAGTTGAGCACATGATGTGTTTTTCATATGTGCGTCGTTGAAAGACTTGTATCTTCTTACAAATGACATTACAGAACACCTTGTGTGTTTTTGTCACAGGAAAGAGACTGAAAGGCGTGACTTCTGGAACGCTATTATATAAAATCTAGGTTTTGACCAATACAGCACTTTTATTTGCCATGACTACAGATATCAATGTGAAATGTTTTTACATATCTCATATAAAATTATTGATAATGTACATGATGTACTTGTCAACTTTCATATCGCTATCGCGCTTGTGCTTGCTGTTTTTTTATTTCAATAATTAAGATCATTGATTTATTGAGGAATATTTCTAATGACATCCGTCTATTGATAGTCATTTATAAAGCATGAACACAAAGACTGTACCTTCACTTTCTCCTAATTTTTCGTTTTTCGATTAAGATTCAGTTATTGGTACGGGACTTAGTAGCTTTGGTTTTTTTTTTGTCACCTAGGATGAATATACTGATGTTCATATCTAAAATTAATGATTTAAAACATAGCCTTAACTTTCGCTTTCTTTTAGACAAAAATATACACCCATAAGTCATAATTTGACAATTGTAAAAGAATTTCATGTTATTGTATCTTTTATATTACAATGTATATAATTCTCTTCTGTTGTATGTACATTATATATACTTTGTAAATATGTTACGCTCTCCAATTTTGTGGGATAATTAAATATAATAATAAATAGTTCCAACAGATACAGAGCAAAAACAAAATTTTGAAAATGACAAAGTGTGACCATGACCTGAGGAAGATCTGGAGAACGTCTCATTACGGTTAACATTTCTGCCAAGTAGTTTGAATATGCTTCCACTGCTTTAAAATATACAGACTGGAAACGAAAACTTCTAACAGACTGACAGACGACCAGGTGCACATCATTATACGTCAAAAATTCCGGTATCAAAAAATGCAGTAATTATCTATATCAAATACAAATGTATAGGCAGATGCGTAACAACTACATGTAATTACGAGTATAATAAAAAACAAAATTAATGGTATAAAACATTTAAATGTCATGTTTCTGATAAAAGTGGATACTTTCTTGGTTTCTGTCACATAAAGTGGTTACAATAAACTAGGACATGTGTCTCCATGCAACTTAATTGACTGCAGTCTTGGTAAGAAATCTTGAAATTATTCTCATTTCTTTCCCTCATTTACATCTTACATCTCTATACATATTGTTAATTCCAATTAACATAGTAAAGATCTTGTTAAAACTGAGAAACAAAGAGAAGAAAAAAACGAATTTTTTCACATCATTTTAACCATTTTTATTACACTGTATATTACAAATTTAATTAAAAAGCAAGTTCATTAAAGGACGTAGATCAAGAAACCTTAAAATAAAGAATTTGAAATTTTTACCTACATCAAATTAAACAAAAAAAAAAACAACAACATTATCAATAGTTTGTGCAATTTTTAGCTGATTTGAAAGAGTTATACAAATGCTCATTCTGGTAAAAGTCAGTTGAGGGAATGGTTTGAAAATTTGCACACAAGTTATTGTCTCAGACCCACAATAATTTGTATATAAATCTCTCTAAAAATATTTCCAGTCCAGTCATATTAAAACACCTCAATAGAGTCCCTTTCAGTAAAAAATCATATCTAGCCAGTACACAGTATTTATGCAGTTTTAATACACTATATAACCCTTTGAATTTGAAATCATTACTTATAAGTTAATATCAAGAGTCAAGTAATTCTTTTTGTTTTGCTTTCATCAATGCTTCTGCATCAGCTTGTATTTTCCTCTTGTCCTGAAGTAACTGAAAAGCAAACAGACTTTATAAATAATCACTGTGTATCATCTCATGTGAAGTAAATTTAGCAGTTTTATTTCTTTTCACCACAATGGACTTATTTTCTTTAGCTAAAACTTCCAATCCCTAAAAAAAATGTAGTCAAAAATTATAAAAAATTCACATTTCACATTTATGCCCACATTCATTTAAAATTTCTCAAATGTGCAAACCAGGAAGCATCAAACAAGGATGAATAAAATGTACTGAAATTAGGAGTACAATGTGATATGCATAATTGGTTTATGACACTTTGCCGAGTTTAGCAACAATGTTACAGTAAACAGTTAAACAATTTAACCATATACATGTATTGACAGGCAGTTATCATACAAAAGCTCCTGAGACATGTACCAGTACTAGTGCCTGTCAAATTTTGCATGTAAACACTGAATAGTAAACGATATACAATACCAAAACATTTTGTTGCTAACTGAATTTCCAATAGGGAAAAACTGTGGTATGTCTACAACTTGAACCTATATTGAGCTTACAGGGCAAGTTTCTATGTGTGCAAATGTTTATATTGTGACACTTGTATAAGCAGAAATATAATCTGACCATGATAAAAGTTTTAGAGTTACACTAAGCTTTTAATGGGGGAGGAAGACCTCAGTAGAATGGGCTCATGAGTAGAACCATCGACGTTCCCTAAGCTAGCTGGATAGCACCTTTGTGTGTAAGAGTTTAATACATAACATATCTACTTTGTGCTAGGTCAAAGCATTTTATTTTACAAAGAGACTGTGAAGCAATTATCATTATTGCATAGTTTGGAACTTTTTCTTGTTCTCACTATCGGCCTCAACATTTTTTTTAGCAGAAACATCCCCTCAATGTCGCCCCAGCCAGTGTTATATCCTCGTAACAAACTCGTTTTATATACTATAACTATTACATAATTTCAAATTTGAGAAAAGTATATCTTACATCAAAATATCCCGCACCATTCACAGCTCTTTTTACTTACCTTACTCTCTATTGTTTTTTTAATTTCAGTTGATTTCGTCTTGTTAACCTTCTTCATTGTTTCTGCAAACAGTTTGTCCAATTTTTCTTTCGTATTATTAAAAATTGTTTTAGCACCTTTAGCTAGTTCTTCCCTATGATCCCTTGAAACCCTGAAATAAAGATGTTGGAATGGTTAAAGGTAGATGTTTGACATGACAGGATAGGAAATATTTTTTTTAAGATTTCGATTTGTTTTGTTTGGTTTTACGGCCACCAACACAATTTAGGTTATATGATACCAAAACATGCAAAATGATTTTGGCTAACCTTGGGTGTTACAAATAAAAACTTAAAGCAATACAAGTGGTCAAAACAACCTCAGCTGTTGGAGCTAGAAAATACATTGGCACCAGTAATTCTAACCCATTTGGTTACCTCTTATGATCACTACAGGTTTAAATGGTGGATGTAATTCTGATGCCAAAACTGGGAGAGGCAACCTCTCAGCCACAAGGGGCTCAAGATTTGATACCATTTAATCAAGGTGTATACAAATAAATTGTGTTCAAACTTTTGGCACATTCACTCAATCTATTTTTCAAAGTTAAATCATTATAACTGTGCAAAATGGTCTGAAAATGAAAATGGTTTGAATGTTTTTACAGAATTTTAATTCATTTAACTCATCAAATCAGGCTAATAATCACACTAAATATTGATTTTCAAATTAATTCTATGTATATTTCTTTATAATCATATTCCAATACTTCTTATTTAACCGCCCAAGTTGACCTGTGTAAATTTTTTAACCTTAGTCACTGTGGAGTGCCTATAACAGACAATTTTTGAAAGGATATCACCTAATGATAACATTTATCTGCAAACATTTTGCACAGATTTCAGAACAATAATACACATACATATATCAATACAAAATAAAGTAAATATAATCGTAAGTTTCTGAAAATTGGACGGTGTAAGCCTGACATGAATGCCATACCAACTAAAATTAGCAGATGGTCAATATTTTGCTAGGAAGCATTTCAATCTGATTGAGTATTAGATAAATTCTTCTGCAGTAAATAACAAAAATACTTTTTGATGAAACTCTCCAAATATGACAATAAGTATAAGGATTTTTTTTTTTTTTTAAAATTCATATATAATAATTATATACAGTTATAGAATCATGAAAGTCATTAAAATATTGAATTATCAACTTGTATATTGCCATAAAAATATGAATTCATATTCAGAGTATATTGAGCACTACCAGTACTTTACACAGTTACATACTTACTTGGGTATATTAACATAGATTGTTGATGGACCTTCTTGTTGTGGATTTAGATTCATCCCTGAACTTTGTAATGCTGACATAACTGCTGGTACAAACTATAAAAAACACAGCACATTTGTTCTACAATTATATACATGTACAAGTAAATATTACATGCAAAATCTGTATTGTATACAAAAATGTGTTTCACAATGACGTTGTTGATAATGCAATTACCTTATGATTAAAAATATAGTTTAAATTCGGGGAGTCATGTAACAAGTGCTGTCAGTAGAATGGCAGGCTGGACTATTTTCAGTGCTTGATAGTTAAACAAGGGTCTGGATAATGTTAGCATTATTAAAAAGGAAGATTCAAACATACACATATTATGAGTCTTGTAAATTGACCAAAGGATTTTTTAAGTTTACAAAGGGCCATTTTTCATTCAAAATCCTTGTCAAAAGTTATGATCTTGGTCTGTTACTTCTGGTTATAATCATGAAGGCATGCATGATTTTCATGTGAATACCTTCATTAGTTTTGAAGACTAATGTTGCCAAGAATTTACTAAATTCACAAAGGGACAAAATTCTGTCAAAATCCAGGCAAAACTTATGTGCCAATGATAGTGACCTCCAATTATGATCTCAAATATGTGTGTGAAGTTACAAGCAAATATATTTTGGCTATGGAGATACAATGTTGTACCAAAAATTGCAAATAAAAATTTAACCAAAGTATCATGCCAACACGGATGCCTAGGGAAGCAGCATTGCCCAACTATTTTTATCAAACGGTCAAGCTAATCAATGATACAATGTTAAAGAATATTTATCCATTACTTGTACTCGGCTGTCTCGACTTTAAGTAAAACAAATCATACTTGGCTTTTCTAAGCCTGGAAAAATTCATGGGAGTCAAATACAAGTTCCAGCTCAAGATACCTCCATGATAACCCTATAACATTAACATGATCATCATTCTTAAACAATCGCAGTTCCAACACTCTTCAATGTATACAACTTAAAATATTAAATTCAATCGTTTTATGACCCAAACAGATGAGTAATTTTGTTATTGTAAGTGTTCAAGATAGTAGTATTTAAATTTTACAACAAAAGTTTTGATAAGTTTGTAAAAGGGGCATAACTCTGGAAATACTGATCACATAGTTATATCTCTTGTCCTACTGATTTGCCTTGTCATTATTATCAAGCACGCCAAAAAAGAGTACATTGTCATTGATTTTCAAAATTTCTACTGTTTAAAATAGTGAAAATATCATCAATTTAATATTTTTTACTGTTTTGAATTTAAGCCTGTTACGTTGTTTCAGTGAAATACCAGCGTGCACAGTACTGGAAACCAACTTACTGGTGTGACGTTGTAAATGATGTCGTATTTATTTGGCGCGCTTTTCATTTAACATTAGGTTAAAATGTCTTTTTAAACGTTTCTTTGCATATAGAAAGAAAATTTGTTAAATTCAGTGTAAGATCCAAATATGTTTCACCTCATGAACACCAAAAGTTCATATTTCACTCGCAGCTGCACCACTCGTGAAATATACCTTTTAGTGCTCACTCAGTGAAATATATTCCGACCTGACACTGACCTTAACAAACATCCTCTATATATTATCTAAAACTGATATCTAATAAATACACTGACCTGGTGTTTTGATGTGTTGTTCCCCTCTCCATTCTGTTTGATTTATGGTTTCTTTTTAAAGTTTTTATTATTGAAAACAAAGGGACATAACTGCAATGTAATAATTTAAATAGCATATGCAGTAACCTCCCTTGAATATCCAACCAACTGATTTTTTTGTCATTTTTGAGCCCATTTATTTCAAATTTCCTTCATTATATGTGTAAATATTTGATCACTGCACTTATATCAGCCATTGATTAAATACTGCACATCTGAATTACTAAATTATCACTATTAGTCTATGACACAAAAATTTTGACATGTGACTGAACAAGTAATGTTACTGACTTATTAGAGGATTTGTACAAGAATATAAATTATTTTACTATAGCCCATTAATCAAATATTCTAAAAGTAATCAACATGAAACTTTTGGAAAACTTACCTATTATGACAAGGTGCAGTTGTTAGTCATAGGACATCATTCTGAAGGCAATATTTTTGGAGTTATGCCCCTTTTAACTTAGAACTTTTTAACTGATGAGCGCTAACACTGAATGCAGTACTCCTGTGATTATACTGACCTTGATATTTTGACTGAGATTGAGTACAATCAATGAAGGACCCTTCTGCACTATGGAGGCAACCTGATTCAAAGGAATTGTTTCATTGTCCAACTTCACTTCAATTTTATCAAAAGTTCCTGTGTATAAACAAAATGTATACAAACAATATATAATCATCAAAATACTGGTCATGAGTATGAAAAATATACTGTTACATGTCACTTATCTTATTGTACTTAATCTTATTCCATGTATTGATAAATGGTTTGCAAATATCTGTAAACAATGCTTGTGTCTGGAAAATTTTTCTCATTACATGTATTATAAACTTGCCTTTAACTCTTAATGCATGTAATGAATTTGTCCTAATTTAAATAATATGAACAGTTACTGTGCAAGTTTAAGGGATTTCACTGTAAATAACAACAACAAAGATTGAGCTTTTTCAAGAATAGAGCCCAGTTAAACTGTACAAGGCTGATCTTTTTCTCTTTTTTTTGTTTTTTGGATTTAACGTCGCACCAACACAGTAAAGGTTATATGGCAGCTTTCCAGCTTTACTGGTGGAGGAAGACCTCAGTTGCCCCGCTGTTCATTATCTCAAGCTCAAACAAGCACCTGAGTAGAACCACCGACGTTCCGTAAGCTAGCTCGAGTATAGCTTTCTCACATAAAAAATTTGAAGATGCTGGCATTGCGTAAACCTAAAGCAGTGAGAGGCAACTGGTTTATTT